GTTTTGTTTATGTTTGTGCAATCAATATTAATTTTCATGTAATTTTTTTCTTGTTTTTAAATAAAAATAATTATTATAATTGAATCGAATTTTGTGATTGATCAACATCAGGAAAATAAATCACCATTATTTTTTGCAATATTGCCAAGTCCATATAAACACACCCAAAAACACTATTGTTGTGGACCTTATTTCCACAGCTAAATCAGTTACTGACTACCCCCTATCCAGTCTTTATATAGAGCTTCTCCTCAAAGCACACACAGGTCTGAGTGAAATCTGTAAATAGCCTTCATACTGCGCTGTGGCCTGAGAAGGGAAATTGCACCTGAGCAGACTGCAGTGCCCCAGACATGTGCTGGGTTGAAGATAATCACCGGTCATATAGGCAATGCCTGTCTATTTCAGCATCATAGCCTCAAATGAAATGGCCTCAATGAAATCTGTGTAGTGGAGATTTAGGTTCACATGAGGGCCAAGTGACTACTGGGAGTGCACATAAGCCTATCGCTTGGAGATTTACGGACAATAACATAGGTGAAATGACTAGATATTCCTTTTTCATACTCACTGTTAAATTACGTGACTCATCGATCTCCAAAACTCCTGTCAAATGAAGACCAAATCCCTATAAAACTTCACTGCTGGGGGAAAACATACTGCAATCAAAGTCTGGACAGATTTTTCAGAGCTACATTGAACAGACATAAGACTACACTGATGGGCTGACGAAACTTTCATATACCCCAGCACAGGTACATTTACAGACTTCTCATAGTGTAAATAATGTGGAAAAGCAACAAATCTAAAAAGTGTTAAGGCTGTTCCAGGCCCTCACACAGAGAGAGATGAGGTTAGAGCTGCGCACGCTGAGAGCTGGACTGATTACACATCACTCACCAACCACTCATTGAAGAAATACAGTGTGAGCCCAGAGTCCCAGCTGACACCTGCTTCATTAGAGTTGTATCGGTACAGGCAGGAGCCAGGTGCCCACAGGGACAGGCCTGGTGATAACATGCTCATAGCAAAGACATTATAGGCGTTTTGCTGTGGTAATACCAACGCAAATAAGGTAATACAGATTTTTGTGTAGTCAGTTAGAGAAGACAGACAATTTCAGTTCATAATAACATGCATAGCAGTAATTATGACAAACAAAAAACCGCTGAACCGAGTTTGAGAATAACAAATTAACAGCTTGTAGGCTAGTTTATCAAAATTTGAATGATCATTCTTGAGCCTTTTAAAAAAATGTACAATGGAGGACATCTTTGTTTTCACAAATGTTCTAAAAACAACACAATACCTAAGTGTAGACTGAAAAGATCCTGTTTTAAATGAATGCCTCCATTGACACACACAGGAGGAACCTGTTTGAGTGCCAGCCATTGAACTGGCATCAACCATTTCAATTTCCTGTGCATCTGTCCATCCAGTCTCTAGGTCAAATAACACCAAACCAAGGCTCTCAGTTTTTCATGCACTACTTGTAACACAATTACAAGTGATGTTACAAGAATCATCACTACCAGAAAAGTTTATATAACACATATTACTAAATGCATTTGTTCCAAAGAAACGTAATAAACAAATGTATTGTTTGTGACTAATTCTATTGCTTGTGCACATAAAAATGGTGAATGAGCTTGAACATGTCTTGCTTATGTTGCCATAAATTAGTACAGCAGAAACTAGGTGTAACATTTCCAAAAGCATAGTGGGCTTATCTGTGCTGGGGCATATGTTTTGACCAGAGCTCAATATAAAGCCAACATGTACAGTATCAAAGGAGATTGGACATGGACATTCTTATAACAGGCTGTGGGCTTCGGAAAGGCTCCATATGTAATTGGCTTCACTTTAACCATGCTCCAGCTGCGAACATCAGAGCTGCCAGTCAAGCTCAGATCCTAATAGGGCTAACCACTGATTAAATTGCTGGTTTCGCCTTAAACAATGTGTCTCATTCCACGCCTAACCCCAGAGAACCTTGAAATCTACAGTTATGCAATAATCCCACAGGGCCAAGAAGGGTGCTTTATGTGTACTGAAGCTCTGAGAGCTAATGAAAATTTACACAGAGCTCTAAAGTACAGCCATACATTTCTGTGCCAGTCTACAGCATGGTGGTCAGGTGTATATCTCCTACATACAGTCCCTGACAAAAGTCTTGTCACTTATCCATTTTGTAGAAACAAAAGCTTATAACCTGACTTTAAATTAATCGATTGGTTTTAGAAATGTCTCATATGAAAGCTAAAACCCTCCCAAATTATGCTCAATATACTAAAATAAATTTGCTTCACTGAAGAAAGATTGATCATTTAATGAACACAGAAAGGTCAGATTTTGGCAAGACAAAAGTTTTGTCGCCTACAGAAAATTGAACAAATAATTTACTTCAAATACAAAAATATGTTGCATAACGTCAGTGAATTAAGTAGTGGTGCTGTGAGATCCATATTTAATATCTTGTATGACTTCCATGAGTTGAAGGACGCATCTATGCGGTTCAACAATGATTCATACAATTTGTTGATGAAGTCATCAGGAATAGCAAAGAAAGCATCTTACATGCCTCCCAGAGTTTATCAAGATTCTTTGGTTTTGCTTCCATGCTTCCTCTTTCATTCTACCCCAGACATGCTCAATGATGTTCATGTCTGGTGACTGGGCTGGCCAGTCCTGGAGCACCTTGATCTTCTTCGCCTTGAGAAACTTTGATGTAGAGATAGAAGTATGCGATGGAGCACCATCCTGCTGCAAAATTTGACCCCTTTTATGGTTGAGAATGTAAGAGGTAGCTAATACTTCTTGATATTTTAGGCTATTGATATTGCCTTCCACCCTGCAAATGTCTGGCACAGCCCCATACTGGATGTAACCCCAGACCATGATTTTTCCACCACCAAACTTAACTGTTTTCTGGGTGAATCTTGGATCCATGCGGGCTCCAGTAGGGCTCCTGCAATATTTGGGGCGGCAGTGATGTAATTCAACCAAGGATCCATCTGAGAAATCTACCTTCTGCCACTTTTCCAGTGTCCATCCTTTTAGCAGGCTGTGGGCCTTGGCAAATGCCACACGTTTTTTTAATTGCCTTTTGTTTAGTGCTGGCTTCTGTGCACTGATTCGACCATGGAGGCCATTTCGAGACAGAATTCTACAAACTGTTCTGGTTGACACAGGGACTTGAGGTGACCAGGCCTGGTGGAGCTCTGCTGCAGTGGAAAAGGGGCTGGCCTTGGATTTTCGAATCAACAAACGGTCCTCCCGAGCAGTTGTCTTGCGGGGTCTGCCGGACCTGGGCTTGTCAAAAACATCTCCAGTCATTTCAGATCTTTTTCTTATTCTTCGTACTTGACGCTGAGACACATTGAAGGTGTCAGCCACCTCAGGAGTGGATCTGGTCTTCAGCCTCTTGATAATTAACGCTTTGGTCTCAGGGTGGATCTTAGGCATGTTGTCAGAGGTCAAGTTGCAGTTGATGTGAAGGTCTGGTGTGCTGGGGTTCTTTTTATACACACCCACTAGTTGATTGATCAGTATCTGATCACAGGTGAGGCTGTAATCTAGGATTGGGAGCATCATATGACAAGACGACAAGACTTTTGTCTTGCCAAAATCTGACCTTTCTGTGTTCATTAAATGATCAATCTTTCTTCAGTGAAGCAAATTTATTTTAGTATATTGAGCATAATTTGGGAGGGTTTTAGCTTTCATATGAGACATTTCTAAAACCAATCGATTAATTTAAAGTCAGGTTATAAGCTTTTGTTTCTACAAAATGGATAAGTGACAAGACTTTTGTCAGTGACTGTACTGTGTTCTATCCACAAACATTTGTACTAACAAATGTCCTAACAGTTACCACAGTGGAGTGTTTTAAGTTAAGTACCTTCTTTTATTGTTTTGTCTTTTTTGTTGTTGTTGTTTATTTATTTATTGCAGTTTTATGGTTCTGTGTTTTTTATTTGAATTGATTTTAAGAGCTTTAATGTTTTTAGGCCTAGTATATTGTGCTATATTAATAGAGTAGATTTGGATTTACATGGCACAATTCTTTTACATTCTTTTACAGTTATTAAAAAATGTAATATAACACAATTATTCAAATAAAAAATTGGTAAGAGAGCAGTGGTTCTATAACTTTTCACACCAAGTACCAAAAGATCTAAACCAGGTGACAAAACTGGAGTATTCTATTTCGAAATCAGACCTTCGCATTGTACAACTTCCGAGCCACATATGGCTCTTTGGTTGACTGATCACCAAGGTTTAAGATAATTTGGAATTACAAAATAAACATTTCATAATTGTAACTCATGCATGGACTAAAGCTGCATTGCTTTTATTTTAGAGGTGTTTTTTCAAATGACATTTTTGTAAGGCAACCTCACTTATTCATTGCTGAGTCATAACATAAACTCTTACCAGTCTTACCAGCCTGTCAAAACAATGCTGTTTACTGTTTTTTATGAAGAAATACAATTAATATTATGCAGATTTGAGTTAAGCATTTTGGCCTGGCCCTCCACAGTATTTTATGTTTCTCATGTGGCCCAATGGAAAAAAATAATTGCCCACCCATGGTCTAAATGATAGCCCTAAACCAGGTCTAAAATAGGATAACACTATTATTACATTAGTTGTAGATAAGGCCTAACTCAAAGGAAGACAAAAACAGAGAAGACAATGTGGATTAAATTATCTCTAAATTCAGCACAAAAAAACACTACATAGAAATCTGTGTGGTCCAGGAACTGCTCACAATTAATTTAAGTTTTTAAAAATGTTTTCATTATTCAGTTTTTAGTATGAAGGTGTCATAGTGGGACTTTTTGAAGGGCAAGCTTCAGGTGCAATACCACACTTACACTTCTTGTTCAAATAATACTAAAGAAAACTTTTAAAAGTCAAAGACACTTGGCTGGCCACAGATAAAAGGGATTGTGGATTCTAAGGCCTTTATAAAATGTGGAGAGGTGTTTCTGTACCTTTATGTGGTTGAACTCCGCTTTGCCCGACTCACTGCTGACCGATTTGTTTTCGGGACGAGGTTTGAGCACTTGGCGAAGAGGGCTGGAGATTGGCAGGCCTGTCACACTGATTCCATCTGAAAACAATCAAAGTATCACATACTCAGCAAAGGGAAGCAAGTGCTCAGTGTTAAAAGTGTTGAGCTTGGCCCAACAGGAGGTGGAAAGGTGCATGATTTCATGGAATTAGAATTAGAATTAATGCCATACTTTGGAACTTTTACATGACAACAGATACATTGTATGCCATATTGTGGAATATTATAACCAAAGGAACAAGGAGGAAGCCCTCCTCCAGTCCAAATATGAGTCAGTTTTGTGGTGATGCAAGCCAGCTCACAGTAACGATGCATGTTTTATTCATTTTTCAGTGTAATATAAAACATGCTTTTTTTTTTTCTTTTTTTCAACAAAAGTTACACACTTTGGTTTTAAGAAATTAATAGTTTATTCATTTTTTTTTAATCTCTGAAGGCCCAAAATCAAAGATTACACAATTCATTCATCCTACCTGTTTTTGTAAGGATTTGTAAGAACCACAAGCATTCACAATTAAAGATTCATTGCAAAAATCCTCTTTAGTATTCCGAAGGCATTTTGGAGCAGACAAAAATTACTAGTAGTGCATTTTTTACTTTTCCGACCTTGACAGCAGTGTGGGGATGTAGGAGCAGCTGCAGTATCAGTAGCTGTGTCGGGCATCACTGTGGGGGTTGCCAATTTGAACCCGTTGAAACAATGCAGCCAAAATGACGCCCAGAGCCCACAGCCTGACGTCAAAGGGATCGTACCAGTCTGACGTCAGCTGACTGAAGAGCCCTGCAATTTGTCCCAACACAAGGGGACATTACCAGACACTGAACTGTTTTAGTGAGCACTGAGCACTTCACTGAAAGACCATCCAACTCATCTCCATTATTGTCATTATTTGAAAATTGGAATCATTACATTTTGTTACTTGGCAGGAGAAAAATTTAGTCATTGCATTTGTCCAAATACTGAGACACTAATTCTAACATTTGGTTCTAGGCAATGTCAGCTGTCTGCAGATTGAGTTTTGAATTGACCATCAGTAACCATTCTTCCACTCAACTTGCTCCTTCAATTTGGCCCCTCCTATGGACAGCTGCATATTACACCAACAAGCAGCAGATTTTTTTTGACCATGCAACACTGCTGAATCTATCACCAATTAAGAAAGTAACATTGGAGAACGAAGAAAGTAGAGAGCAGGGAGTGTATGCTGGTGGTGGTGAACGGGTGTTGATTGGCAAAATAGCGTCTTGAAAATGAGTGATTTGCTGAAACATGCATAAATCACTCCAAATACAACTTGATGAGTAGACATGGTAGGAAAGACTATAACTATAACATGCTTAAAAACTCAGTTTTATATAATAAGTCTGCTTTAATAGGCAAACTGAACCAAATTTGAAGTCAGTACTTTGCATTTATAATATTTGAAAACTTAAAGCCGCACTACGTAACTTTCTTAGTATGGGGCCTGCCAACTCCTTGTCTCCAAATAGATTATTGCTTTGCCTGAAATATTCCAAAATCTACTCCATGGAGATGAGCGGGTCAGATCTAAACAGATTCTAAACATTCACATCATTAGGCTAAGCAGTCAGTATCAGGGGCATAGCACAGTGTGAGTAATGGCTGGTGTGATTAGCCCTGGCATTGCTCTGAGCCAGGCCCACCCAGCACCCAGCATCTTCATCAGTTCAGGTCTAGTCCGGAGTCTGGCCTCAGGAGAAACCACTCCACTCAGCATTTTCATCACAATCCGGTTCCTGTGCCAGCTTCTACATATAAAATTATTGTTGTCGCACATCTATATGTATTAGTCCATATGTAATTGTATTAACCTTTTTACAAACTGCACTGAATGTGACCTATGACCTTTTAAATGGGAAGACTTAATGAAATAAAAATAACAGAAGTTCATTGTATTTTTTTCTGTCAAATCAGCTACACTGAGACAGCATGAACCTCATTACTCATCTATCTGAGGAGAGACAGAGAAAGATGGAGCTTTCAATGAGCACAAATCTGTTCAAAGAGATTCAAACAAATGATGAGACATTATTGGAAGCCATTTGAGTCCATCTGGAGACTCCATTAAACCAGCTGCTTTGTTTTAACAGCAAAAACAAATGTTGGGCATAGGGGGATTCGAAGCAAGTGGGATATGAATCAAATTGGACTAGCTGTATCTTTTCTAAAAGGTTGTTGTTTTTTTTCCTTTGAGGACATTTCATTTTTAATATTGGATAAACATGACTGTGCACCTCAAAGCTGCATCAAGTAGCCAACTTATTTCAGAGATGTTTTAAATCAAGGGTGTCTGAGCTAAGACCTTAGGCCAAATTTTCTTGGCCCTCAGGCCTCCTGGTGGCCCTAACCCTAACTGTACAGAAGTCAGTTAGGGTCATACTACGTATTTTTAGTCCTCTACCATTATAACCTCATTAAGTAACATCTTGGTGTGACACAGACCTGATATTAAGGCTCCAAGACTGAATTAAGGTGCGTTAACCCCTGAAAATCTGAAAATGTTAAATACATTTTTTAATGATTCACGGTATTGACTGTGCTGCTTAGTCATTGTTTAAATATACGTCCCCCTATGAAAAATGTGTGGACACTACCACTTTAAATAAATAATTTTAGATCTGCACAATTGAAATAACAGTCTCACCTCAGTCTGGAGTCAAATGAGGCAAAAGCACAAGGGAACTGTATAAAACAGCACTCAAAGCTGGACATATCCTACCAGTTGTGATATGCTTTTATTCTTAGTAGATGCTAGCATAATGTTTTTTTTGTGTCTGCAGACATCAACTGTAAGACTAATTCCAGATGAGCCCTGAGTTGCAGCAGATAACAGTGGAGTCACCAGACTATCTTCAGAGACAAGCAACGCATTAATGTAGGCGGGGGCAGTGTCATTAGGTAGCACGCTCACACCATTTAACACGCTAACGCCGCTGTTCAGTCAGGGCCCATTAGCACTGAGTGATGACATCACAGTCATCTGATCTGAGTTATAGTGCCGTGTCTTGAGCTGAACTCCGAGTAAGGCACAGACTCTTCTTCAGATCAATCAATGCGGTTTCCTGTGGCCTTGTCTGATGTGTCCGTTCTGCTTCAGCAAACACAGGGGACATTGGTGTGTCACAGTGACTACATAAAACAAGCTCACATTTCAGTGTTTGTCCAAAAGTAGAAAGTTGTTAATTACTAACTAAATTCAAATGAAAGTCAGTCATGTAAAGTGCTAATGTACCAACTGCATGCTCACACTACACAAGCTGTGAGCCGTCATTCATGTGTTGACTTTGGAGGAAGCGGACAACTTGTGAAGAGGGTTCCTCTAAAATAAGATTTCAATATTCACCTCCAACTACACATACACAAACTATCTTTAGATGGCAGGAGCTGTAAAATGTCCCCAATGTTTTTATTTAGTGACTTTTATAACAAGTACAACTACTTTAAGAATCTGAACAGCAGTAAGTGAGTGGAGCCAGTATTGTAAACTGCCCTTGAGAAGCAGAAAGACATAGGTCAGCCAAAAGGAGAGCAACAACGCAATACCTCCAGGCTAAATGTATGCCCAGTGCTTATCTATTCAGGATTTAGTGCCACTGCATCAAACAGCAACTCATTTTAAGTGTAAACACAACTGCCCTGGAGGCTAACCACTATGTAATTCACTGCCCGCAGCGTTGGCATCAGCTGGGAATAGACAGGTGAATGGATGCTTTTATGTTTATTTGGTCAAATGTCAACTGATTCCACAGAAAAAGATAAATGAAGTTGAACAATCAAATATACCTGTTCATGGTTGAATGAGGAAAATTTTGGAAAATTCTGGCTGATGAGTAGAACAAAGGTTTTCCACTTTTGTATATGTACATGTAAATTGTATAGGTGCTTCATTTGGCAGCCAAGCAATGTAATTAAATGTTGAGTGAGTCAGTAGTGTCGGAAATAATGAGAGATTTCACCGTTTAATTAGCACAGACTTCAGGACTTGGTAATCGTCCAGCACACAACAGTCCAGACAAAAAACAAAGCCAATCAGACTCTATGCAAAGAAGTGGAAAAACAGTGGCGTGCGATTACAGTAGAGAATTAGACAAACATCAAATGTATTTACCCAATACTGCCTCCCACAATGTTCTATGATGACTACAGCCTGGGTCGTGTGTTATCAGCACAATTCAGAGCTCCAGTCACAGCTGAGTTAATTAAAATAGTGAAGCTGTATTGGCAAAATGACCTCATGAGAAAGGCTCAGTCAGAGAGATAAACAATTTCATGTGGGTACAGTCTGAACTGAAATAAACCTGTTTGTTGATTATAAGTATGTATTCTAGTATAGAGTCACTGGAGGAAAGACACGGTCTAGAAGACAGGGTGTAGAGATCACAGGAAATACTAAGAATTTGAGCAGAAATCAGGCTGTACAAGTGAAGGAGCAAGTGAAAGGAGTGACCCAGCGATCTCACACTATAAAACTGTGAAAAAAGGACCATCTAAAGAAGAGGAACAGTAATAACAACACTCCATCTCACCAATATATTTACACAAGATAAAAAAAAAAAAAACTAACAATTTGTCTGTTGTATTAGCAATTTGTGAAAATCTGTTTTGTTGTCAACCTGAAGTGATGTGTGGTCCTCACCATCATTGAGGTCCTGCAGTAGGTTCTCCTGACCTGAGAAGTCTAGCTTGACCTTGATGCTGACTGCGAGTGTCACAGATTGTCCCGGCTTCAGAGGCAGGTGAGAGAGCGCTTCTTCCATCTCCCAGCTCAGGAACTCCCCATATACTTTCTCTGCACCCAGGACACATATTTACACAATTACATTACATACAGTACATTTTTGAAAGGTTAAAAAAATAATTTCTTTAACTAATATAGTATAGGTCTTTTTAAAAAGACATATTCTATTGTAACAAGTAAATTAACAACAAAGTTGCCAGATTCATTTTTCTCCCTGATGTGAGTTTAGGACACTACTCTACCTTGTTTGATTTAGACTTAGACAAACTTTATTGACCC